AATTATTAAGAGGATAAATTTCCAACAAGCCTTACTTTATCTTGCTATGATACATAGTTTTAATTGGTGATATCACTTAAAGTTCTTTCAATATTGACAGCATTCTATCTAGAAATCTAACATTTAAATATGGTTACAGATGCTTGATATAAAAGAACTATTGCTTTTTGTAAGAAAAACCTGCAAGGATTGTTTTACAGATCAGAGAAATATGTGAATGGAAAAACTGTTTTACAAGTTAGGATATACGTGTTCAATGTAGTCTTGTACAAATAAAATGAAGGATCATAGATATTCAGTTTAGGTAAATACAGATTCTCTATAAGTACGGTTATACAGAGTCATTTTAAGGCCATTCACATTATTGTTAAAACACGGAGGTTCAATGTAGGGCCAAAAGGATTGAATTTAAGGTAAATCAAATATGATTTAAGATTTTACAATCTAATACAATTTCTGTTGATGATTATGGTTTTTATTATGGTTTAATGCATTCGCCGTTAATTCATATATTACGTAGCCAGATTTATCTACTGAAGATCATTAAGACATTTTTTTTTTTTTTTTTTTTTTAATAAAANTGAAGGCTGCCAGAGTTGAGGAGCCCTGGAATCAGCCCCCCGAACAATAAAGTGTCCACTCGCAGGTGGTCTTTCACTATTCGTACACCTTACATTCAATAGCTATGTTTATACATGAGTTATATATAAATATATATTTTATATAGTTATATTTAGTTTGTAACATGCATGTATCAGCCACCCCAACACTGTGTCCGTCTGGTTTTTATTATGGTTCAATGCATTCGCCGTTAATTCATATATTACGTAGCCAGATTTATCTACTGAAGATCATTAAGACATAATAATTATAATAAACTTTATTTATTGAGGATAAAATACATGTTTAGCCAAAGGCTAATCTTCCACATGGTCCTCTTGTTAGTAAAATACATGTGTTTGATAAAATAACATATTTATAAATAAACATGATAATCTTGCTAGCAAAATGCATGTGCCAGTTAAAAGTTACATATATATTGATGCAATCGACATATCCAAGGTTATATCACAGTTATCTTAGTTAAGAGTATGACAGAATACATAAAGTTTCATGCAAAGGTATTTCATCAAATACGCTTACATAGCATAATCTAAAATATTGATATAATTTAGATAAGAAGTCTATTTAGAAAGTGACAAGTTTTGGTTACATGGAGAAACAAATTAAAATCTAAGACATTGCTATACAATAGTTAATAAGTTTTCGTTTGAAAGTGGTAAACTAGTCTATTTTCTTTAGGTCACTGGGTAAAACATTCCAGTCGTTAATACTGTAAATAAGAAAGTGTCTGGAATAAAAAACAGTTCTATGTTTTGGTACTTTAAGATTATTTTCAATAACAAATCTTGTATTCCTACAGTGACCATCTCGCACTAGCTAGAGACACATTATTTGATAAATATTCAGGCACTACCTGATGATGACATTTATATAGCATGCACAACCTTCTGTATTTATAATATTGTCAATCGGCATCCATCTAAGAAGTTCAAACATTTGCCTTGAAGGTGTGTCAAATGGTACATTTAAAATTAGTCTAGCTGCTTGCTTCTGAGTCTTAAGCAGCTTGCCCATTAAATTTGCGGTACACTCTGACCATACCGTACTGCAATACATAAAATGTGGGAAAACGCAAGAATTGTTTCTTTTTAGCTTTTCTTCCGTAGGTAAATATGGGCTTATACGTCTCAATAACCGTAACATTTGCCTTATTCTAGATAAAATAGATGTAACACTGCAAACTTGTTCAAGGGGTAATTGCACATAAATATTTCTAAATTAAACAGGTTCTTTTTTGCTTTTGTTTTGAGGCAATGGACATACATTTTGTTTTCTTGACATTTATCATCATTTTATTTTCGATACACCATTCACTAACATTGTCTAAATCAGATTGGAATATACTGTTGATGTTATCTAACGACTTATCAACAGCAGATAAGGTAGAGTCGTCTGCATACATATTAGTGTCAGATACAACATGTAGGGGCAAGTCATTTATAAAAATTAAAAACATAGGGGGACCAAGAATTAATCTTTGAGGCACACCATGTGTAATTGTACGGACTTCTGACATATGACCTGCAAGAGATACTACTTGAGTCCTGTTGTCTAGATAAGATTTAAACCATGACAATGAATTCTGTTCGATTCCGTACAGAGCCATTTTTCTAAGTAAAACATCATGGTCTACCAAATCAAACGCCCTTTTAAAATCTAAAAGTATGACTTCTGTATTAATTAAGACCATCATCTATGTTCTTTGCCCATGAGTTGACAAAATTAAAAAGTGCAGTTTCACATGAGTGACTTTCACGGAAATCTGATTGCGATGATACTATAAGATCATTAGCAGTTAGGTATTTGTAAAAAGTACTGTGCACATGTTTTTCAATAATTTTAGACTGTACTGGCAAAACCGATATTGGCCTGTAGTTGCTAACATCAGCAGTACTACCACTTTTATGAAGGGGGGGGGGGGGGGTAACTCTTGCCATCTTCCACTGAGTTTGAAATTTACCAGACCGGATACTTAGGTTTTTAATATAGGTAAGTGCTATTTCAGCATGAACCATTTTCAACAGCTTAGCACTAACATCACCAACACCAGTAGCTTTATGTTCGTCCAAACCTTTCAAAAAACTGAATTACAAAATCATGAGACACATTGGGAATGACAAAGTTGATATTATCATTCAGTTTATCACATATATACTCTTTCAACTTCTGGAAAGAGGCCGTAACATGTTCAAGTTGAGACGTCAGTTTACCAGCAATCTCAGTAAAATATTCATTGAACTGGTTTGCTATTTTACTTTTTTCAAACACATGTTCATCTCTTATCACTAACATATTTGGAGATGGCAAGCTTTGCTTTAGACTGAGTTCATGCATAAGCTTCCCTAGCTAAATTAAGTCATATATAACACAATTAGAGACATCATGGCACTGTCTTAGATCGGTGTGGTGACTAATATAATCTTCCTCTACCTTTGGGGTATGACAGATACATATTTAACCGGAGTGGTGATATTCTTGATTGTCTAACGTACATGAGGCTTTGCCGTACTCCTTTATTGGTAGGGGATGCTTGTTTTCTCCCATCCTGTTTCACTCACACACGACTAGCGGTGATTGCATGAAGTATAAGTGTTGGTTGCATGTTTTCCAGCATCCTTGATCTGCTACTATTGACGTGACGCCAATGCATTATTGACATGTCGTCATACTATTGTTTTGACTTAGACCGCGCCATTCCGCACGAGGCTCCCCCGAGAGGACGACAAGCTGTTCTCCCACCCTTCACAGGTGTGTCTCTCGTTTTAGCCGGGAAAGATCAGCTTATCACCCCCTAGGGGAAGATAACCTCGTGCCGATTAGCACGTGTTCAATTGTGACGTCATTAAATGCGTCACCTGTAATTGTGACGTCATCAAAAGTGGATGACGATACCCATGCCCCACATTTGTTTTTGTTTTCACTACTGTCGGTATGGGATAAAAATTATCATCCCCTTCCCGGAGGGTGTGACAGAGTAATCTCCAACCCTCGGGTGATGTTTGTTTAGTTGTCTAACCCTCGGCTCTTTCACAGGAATGTCTTCCTTTCAAGCCGGAAAAGATTGATACAATCTCCCCTTAAAAGGGAGACACACCTGTAAAAAGTTGTAGAATAATATACACTGTCCCAGATTTTACGGGGGACATTTTGGATGGAGCCACGTGTGACACAGGAAACACTTACCCTTCAGCTTGGGCTAGTGTAGTTCGGACTCCAGTTTTGAAGGGTCCATGATAGTTGCTTACATAGTGTTGGCATTACGTGTACCTTTGTTTTTGCTTACAGATACTTATACCGACATGTTCATTATGTCCGTTGGTGTTGTCGCTAGTCTATATATGTTTAGTTCAATCATAGTTATTGTCAATGTTTTGTGCAAGAAGACACTCGTAATATCATCTCATCAACGCCTTCTCCTCGAATACGGGAAATAACAATGTTATTGTTAGTGCTAACTGCGTAATACTGTTGCCTATTATTATATGATAACTGTAAGTACTTACTTATATCAGAAATAGTATCAACTTGAGAAAATATAAAAGCATTACAACGATCATTTGTTAAATATAAAGGCTACTTTACAGTGTCAAACGTTTTAGACAATCATAATTCACTTGTTATATATCTACAAATATTGTAATACAAGAAAAAACAAAAAGTAAAGGAAAACTACAATAGTGTACTGTGGTACATATAATTGTTTTATTAGCAAATCGTCGTTGATGAGGATATACTATTTACAAAATGTAGTATATTTGATTACAAATAATCTACATAATCATCAGAAAACAACATTTTGTCGCAAATAAAACTTTTCAAAAATCAAAAATCAAATTACACCTACAGGTGTTCATTAAAGTACAGGTTACATTGCATTCTTATAATTGTACCCATATTCATAAGTTTGAAAAAGAAATATAACAAAGGTAACAAAGATAAAATGATCATTGATACGGGTTAAATTAATACTTATAATAACTCACTATCAATAGTTTTACAGACAGAACGTCATCGGAAATGTACATAACTCATTGCTGTAATTCGTTCTCAAATTACATGTGATTGTCGAAAACGTTAAAAAAAACGACTGTCGGCAAGTTTATAGAAAATCAACTAGGTGAATAAAAGACGAGTGTACATATTTACAGTAAGTATTGTCAACATCGAATTTTAGAGTCGGCTTCAGCGTTTTATAAGTGATCATTAAAATTCAATTCGATGATTGTCGGATTGATAACATATGTTTTGCTGGGAAAGCCTGCATACTTTTGCCTGATCAGGAGTCATACATTGTACGTATACAGTTCTCAAGAATATTTCTTGTAATGTTATACTAAAGGACATAAAGGTATTCTCGCGAGATCTCCATTGATTCTCTACGACCATGACGAATGCAAATAAAACATGAGGATATCAGTGTTATGAACCTTTCCAGAGGATATTTCGTTTTGCTGGTTTATAGCCGAAAAACCGGAGTTTGGATGTTGAGGTTTGATCGACGTAGAAGTTGTTGGTTTCATCGTTTGAGTGATCGTTTGCGTTGTCATTTGCGTTGTCGTTGGTGTTGTTGTCGTTAGTGTTGTTTTCGTTGGTGTTGTTGTTGTTGGTGTCGTTGTCGTTGGTGTTGTTGTCGTTGGTGTTGTTAACGTTGTCGTTGTTGTCGTTGTCGTTGTTGTCGTTGTTGTCGTTGTCGTTGTTGTCGTTGGTGTCGTTGTCGTTGGTGTGGTTGTCGTTAGTGTTGTTGTCGTTGGTGTTATTGTCGTTGGTGTGGTTGTCGTTGTAGTTGTTGTTGTTGTTGTCGTTGTCGTTGGGGTTGTTGTCGTTGGTGGTGTTGTAGTGGGTGTTGTTGTCGTTGGCGTTGTCGTCGTTGGTGAGGTTGTCGTTGGTGTTGTTGTCGTCGGTGTGGTTGTCGTTGGTGTGGTCGTCGTTGGTGTTGACGTCGTTGGTGTGGTTGTCGTTAGTGTTGTTGTCGTTGGTGTTATTGTCGTTGGTGTGGTTGTCGTTGGGGTTGTTGTCGTTGGTGGTGTTGTAGTGGGTGTTGTTGTCGTTGGTGTTGTTAACGTTGTCGGTGTTGTCGTTGTCGTTGTTGTCGTTGGTGTCGTTGTCGTTGGTGTGGTTGTCGTTTGTGTTGTCGTCGTTGGTGTGGTGTTAGTGTTGTTTTCGTTGGTGTTGTTGTCGTTGGTGATGTTGTCGTTGGTGTTGTCGTCGTGGGTGTGGTTGTCGTTGGTGTTGTAGTCGTTGGTGTTGACGTCGTTGGTGTGGTTGTCGTTAGTGTTGTTGTCGTTGGTGTTGTTAGCGTTGTCGTTGTTGTCGTTGTCGTTTGTGTTGTTGTCGTTGCTGTGGTTGTCGTTGGAGTTGTGTTCGTTGGTGTGGTTGTCGTTGGAGTGGTTGTCGTTGGGGGTGTTGTCGTTGGTGTTGTTGTCGCTGGTGTGGTTGTCGTTGGTGTTGCTGTCGTTGGTGTGGTTGTCGTTGGCGTTGTCGTCGTTGGTGAGGTTGTCGTTGGTGTTGTTGTCGTCGGTGTGGTTGTCGTTGGTGTGGTCGTCGTTGGTGTGGTCGTCGTGGGTGTGGTTGTCGTTGGTGTTGTCGACGTTGGTGGGGTCGACGTTGGGGTGGTTGTCGTTGGGGTTGTTGTCGTTGGTGTGGTTGTCCTTGGTGTTGTAGTCGTTGGAGTTGTTGTCGTTGGTGTGGTTGTAGTTGGTGCGGTTGTCGTTGGTGTTGTCGTCGTTAGTGTTGTCGACGTTGGTGTGGTTGTCGTTAGTACTGTTGTCGTTGGTGTTGTTGTCGTGGGTGTGGTTGTCGTTGGTGTTGTCGTTGTTGGTGTGGTTGTCGTTGGTGTTGTCGTTGTTGGTGTTGTTGTCGTTGGTGTAGTTGTCGTTGGTGTGGTTTTCGTTGGTGTGGTTGTCGTTGGTTTTGTTGTCGTTGGTGTGGTTGTCCTTGGTGTGGTTGTCGTTGGTGTGGTTTTCGTTGGTGTTGTGGTCGTTGGTGTGGTTGTCGTTGGGGGGGTTGTCGTTGGTGTTGTTGTTGTTGGTGTTGTTGTTGTTGGTGTTGTTGTTGTTGGTGTCGTTGTCGTTGGTGTTGTTGTCGGTGGTGTTGGTGTCGTTGGTGTTGTTAACGTTGGCGTTGTTGTCTTTGTCGTTGTTGTCGTTGTTGTCGTTGTCGTTTGTGTTGTTGTCGTTGGTGTTGTTGTGGTTGGTGTGGTTGTCGTTGGGGTTGTTGTCGTTGGTGTTGTTGTTGTTGGTGTCGTTGTCGTTGGTGTGGTTGTCGTTGTTGTTGTTGTCGTTGTTGTCGTTGTCGTTGGTGTTGTTGTTGTTGGTGTCGTTGTCGTTGGTGTTGTTGTCGGTGGTGTGGTTGTCGTTGGTGTTGGTGTCGTTGGTGGGGTTGTCGTTGGTGGTGTTGTCGTTGGTGTTGTTGGAGTTGGTGTGGTTGTCGTTGGTGTGTTTGTCGTTGGTGTTGTCTTCGTTGGTGTGGTTTTCGTTGGTGTGGTTGTCGTTGGTCTTGTTGTCGTTGGTGTTGTCGTCGTTGGTATGGTTGTCGTTGGTGTTGTCGTCGAGGGTGTTGTCGTCGTTGGTGTGGTCGACGTTGGTGTGGTTTTCGTTGGTGTTGTGGTCGTTGGTGTGGTTGTCGTTGGAGTTGTCGTCGTTGGTGTGGTTGTAGTTGGTGCGGTTGTCGTTGGTGTTGTTGTCGTCGGTGTGGTTGTCGTTGGTGTGGTCGTCGTTGGTGTTGACGTCGTTGGTGTGGTTTTCGTTGGTGTGGTTGTCGTTGGAGTGGTTGTCGTTGGAGTGGTTGTCGTTGGAGTGGTTGTCGTTGGAGTGGTTGTCGTTGGAGTGGTTGTCGTTGGGGGTGTTGTCGTTGGTGTTGTTGTCGTTTGTGTGGTTGTCGTTGGTGTGGTTATCGTTGGTGTTGTTGTCGTTGGGGTGGTTGTCGTTGGGGTTGTTGTCGTTGGTGTGGTTGTCCTTGGTGTTGTAGTCGTTGGAGTTGTTGTCGTTGGTGTGGTTGTAGTTGGTGCGGTTGTCGTTGGTGTTGTTGTCGTCGGTGTGGTTGTCGTTGGTGTGGTTATCGTTGGTTTTGTTGTCGTTGGTGTTGTTGTCGTTTGTGTGGTTGTCGTTGGTGTTGTCGTCGTGGGTGTGGTTGTCGTTGGTGTTGTAGTCGATGGTGTTGTCGTCGTTGGTGTGGTGTTAGTGTTGTTTTCGTTGGTGTTGTTGTCGTTGGTTTGGTTGTCGTTGGTGTTGTTGTCGGTGGTGTTGTTAACGTTGTCGTTGTTTTCGTTGTCGTTGTTGTCGTTGTTGTCGGTGTCGTTGGTGTTGTTGTCGTTGCTGTGGTTGTCGTTGGAGTTGTGTTCGTTGGTGTGGTTGTCGTTGGAGTTGTTGTCGTTGGTGTGGTTGTCGGTGGTGTGGTTGTCGTTGGTGTTGTTGTGGTTGGTGTGGTTGTCGTTGGGGTTGTGGTCGTTGGTGTGGTTGTCGTTGGCGTTGTTGTCGTTGGTGTCGTTGTCGTTGGTGTTGTTGTCGTTTGTGTGGTTGTCGTTGGTGTTGTTGACGTTGGTGTGGTTGTCGTTAGTGTTGTCGTCGTTGGTGTGGTTGGCGTTGGTGTTGTCGACGTTGGTGTTGTCGTCGTTGGTGGTGGCGATGTTGGTGTGGTTGTCGGTGGTGTTGTCGTCGTTGGTGTTGTATTCGTTGGTGTGGTTTTCGTTGGTGTTGTTGTCGTTGTTGTTGTTGTCGTTGTTGTTGTTGTCGTTGGTGTTGTTGGCGTTGGTGTGGTTGTCGTTGGTGTTGTTGTCGTTGGTGGTGTTGTAGTGGGTGTTGTTGTCGTTGGCGTTGTTGTCGAAGGTTTACTTGTTTGTGTTGTTGTTGATGATATTGGTGTTGTCAATGGCAACGTTTTGGTCGTTTGTGTCGTCGTTTCAGACGTCATTGATAGTGTCGTAGTGTTTGGAAATTTCCAAATCTTTACATCATCTAAGCCAAGTTTTGAGTCAAAGTTGATTCTGACAGATTTGAATCGAATCTGAAAAATATACATAATATACATGGTTACATGTACATAACTGTATGTATTATCTTTTTCTACTGTGTAAACATCTACATACTACGGAGCTTGGAATTGGACAATGTGAAAAGAAAAAGAAATAAACGGTGATCATGTATTATTAAACCATAATATCAGTTAACGATGTAATGTCCTTTGATACCAGAATGCAACACAAAAGGAAATACTACATAAATAAAACATGCATGTTTCAATAACAACAGGCGTATCTGCGGTCTACGGGGCAAACTCGTTCGAAATTACAAAAGCGTATTAAAAATTGCTTTGAGTTATAAGAAGAATACATTAGTTACTGGTACTGAGTCTGAGTCTTAATACGTGTCAGGTTCGAGTGTATTACTTTCTTCTCCATGAGCGGCGACACAGTGCAAGTGGAGATATTTCAAAATCCTACTTTTTTATATGTAATTTGTGATTGCTTTTTTTATCAGTATGCATTCTTAAGATAATGGAATTAAGATATTGACTCGGCAAGTGTCAAGTATGTATGTCCCTCTGGTAAAATAACAGATACTTCGATATATCCTCATTTGACGAAGAGTTTTCTACATTTGTAAAAATCTGACGGTTTCTAGGGTAACAATAATAAGGAAGCCAATACACCTGTCTTAATCTGACACGGATTTTTAATTTACGTTTTGCCGTGTAAATTTAAATTTTACGTCACGTCAGGCCATGATATTGAGATCGATTCCTCAAACAGTTTGACGGTAAGACCCGAACAGTTTCCGATTCGAAACTTTCAGTGATTCCTGCTGTTGTTCGATTATAAGAAAAATCATTGGTTGATACATTAATTTAGGTCTACCTGTGGACTGTACAAAGGAAATGTAAATTACATTGTAAAGCGCGATTTTTTTTGTTGCAAAGATATAGAAATATTTGATGATCTGATTTGTTAAAAGTGGTTTGGTTTATAGTACCATTTTCTGTTCCCACTGCAGATGATGATAAAGACGTTGTTCCATCGTGTCATATGTATGATATCTATAACACATGAAGGTGAGGCAGTTGGCTGCTATATAATATCATTACCTTAAATGGAACATGACTGGAAACAGCCAATGTCGCCTTCCTCCAATCATTTCCATAACGACCAGTCTGTTTCCATAGCGACATTTCCTGACCGTTGTTAACCACCAAGACTTCCAGATTGGAGGCAGATTGTGTCATGGCGTACCAGAACTGGATACACACAGCCCCGCCATTGATTGTTGTGGTGTTGATAGAGGAACTAGCGCCGTCATGTTTACCGACAGTGTATGGGTAAATATAGGACCCTCCTGTAATTATACAAATAGTGTGCTACAGTTATATGTTTATATGCAATACAGTTGTGTGACCGCACAACGCACCAAAACTACCGTGCGCACACCGTGCGTACATCGTTCACACACCGTCCGCACATCGTCCACACATGGTGCGCACAACTGGGCGATTTAACCATCGTTCTCCCAGCACAACTGTGCGATTTGGTACAATTTGTTGATCAATATTACGGAATGAAAAAAACCGGAAGCTCGTATGCAATAATGTACACTGTATAAATTACTGTCATTTTTCATCACAATAATGAAGGTTACGTACAATTTTACAATGCGTGTAACACAGTATACAGTGACCGTTAGACTGTCAAGAATGGATTTTGCTCCTAGCTAGGTAACAGAACAGGTAAATAACAATTTGATGAGTGACCGGAGTTTTACCTGGCCTGTGCCTGACATGACCGTTATGAAAACACAACTAGACGTTGAGCATTTGTTATTTGCATTCGGTCTCATCTATAGCTCCCATCGCCTGGTTTTCACACCTTGGCGAGTTACGTAAGTGCCCCGGGCGGGGGAAAACTACGGTCCAGGTACAAAGTGGCTATGTTTACCTGTGTTGCCGAGACTGTGTTGTAATTTTACATGTGTCGATTAAGGTCTTTTAAAATACACCGAAAACACAATTTCTAAATTTAAGAAAGTATAGACAGAAAGATAAGCTTATAGATGAAGATAGAATATAGAAACATACTAAACAATCAAGTTTATATGTTTAAACACCGACCGTAAATATTGTTATTCAAGTCATTCCTCAATTTACACCAACCACGATTGTTATCGCACAACGCAGGGGGTGGGGGGGNACCAGGAATTAATTTTGGGTTTTGCCTATTTTTTAAACTCAGAAAAACACTCAAAAAAACTAACAAATTATAATTGTCATGTAGGTTGTACATGTATACTACTTTCTGGCACGACTTTTTTGTTCTGAAGATGTAATACTAAACTTAAAACGTAAAACGGGAGCGATGTGAAGATATAATTAGATTGCTAAGGTGAATGCTTTTTTGGCTTTGTAATTTTTGAAGTTTACATTTTTTAACAGGTATAATAAAACACTCCTGGTGCAATCTGATTAACGAAGCCTTTAACATATGATTTTAATCAGATTGCTCCTGGTGATCATGTGTACATAAAACCACAGGTGAAAATACAGGTTTAGCTATCATGAAATGGACTCTACCTTTGAAATAACAATTAACATATATACCTAATTCCAACAGATGGTTTTATCCTCTCTCAACGGACAGGGTGATCACCACACCGTGACATTAGAACAATACGATTAGGTATTGTATTGTATTGTAATGTTTATTCAACTCGAAGCCTTACGGCTCATAAGCACACACAGCAACGTATAATTGATACATCAGTAATATGAAATACCAAATAATTATAACATCATGAATGAAGCATAATCTTGTACATCGCATATATATATATATATAGTACCTATAAATGGATAGTATAATTCTTTAAATTATTTTAAAGTACAAGATAAATAATTAATCGGAAGATGGACAGCTCTTGTAAAATTACCTCAACTAAGTGTACTGTGGCTATCGGAAAACAGATGAGGTGACAACATGTTCTACGCATAATAACAACCGGCGCTCAATAAAGAGTATGTTAATTAGAAAAACAAAAAAACAGGCATACAATTTGTATACATTGGTGTAGTGATCAGGGGATGGACAAAATAATATGTGTTAACCTGGAAATAAACAAGTACTCAAATGTTATCAGTCAGTGTGAGAAAAAACACAATAACCTAAGGTTGGAATCTAGACCGTTCTAACCAACTTGATTGCATATACTTTCCTAGATTACACAGCTCTTTTCTGTTACGTACAGATACCCGCTGGACAAGTTTATATGAAGATGGGAGGCTCCAGTAATACTTTTTAATGAACTTTTTACGAATATCAACACAGAGTGGACAAATCAGAACAAAATGGAACTCGTCCTCTACCTGGTTTTGATTACAATAACGACATAACCTATTTGCCCTCGGAATATTATGATACCGACCTTCTTCTACATATAACTGATGCGATGAAAGTCGTAATTTCGCAATAAGTTTAAAATACGCATCTGGAATAGACTTTGTTAGATAAAATTGTAACGTAAAGTTATCTATCAGGAATTTATACAAATAACATTTAGATGATCTTTCAGCAAATTCATTCCTTGTTTGAAAAAAAAACATCTGTCAAACGCTGCTTGAAACAATGTTAAAATACCCTTTCATTATCAACATAATGAGTTAACCAGACATTACCAAAACCAGAAGACAATAATAATTTTCTAGCTTGACAACGCCAATTACAGTTTCTGTGATTACATTCATCCATATCTTCATAAACTGACTTAAGAACACAATTGTCGTATTTAATTAGTTTCAACCAATATTTGATAGACAGTCCGTTGAGCCTTCACCACTGACCTGACTGGAGATCCTACTAATATATAAACAAAAGAGGATTAACCCCCTATTGTTTAGAGTATAAGTAGTGGACTCCTTGTTTGGGCAACTGGACCCTTAGGCATATATAGATATTCAAACTGCTGCTTGACATAGAACATCATAGTTCACAGGATGGTTGATATTAGAAGAAAATCCCATATAAAAAGAGGAAAATCTTCAAAAACCTAAGGTCAGATTATTTTTGGACACAGAAGAAAGGGTGTTGCCCGGGCAACTAAGGCAACACCCCTGGGTCCGCCACTACAACGTTCTTCGATCGTCCGCACAAATGTGCGCAAACAATTGTCGTCCATTTGTTATCGTTAACACTTCGTGCACACATCGTGCGCACACCGCACATCGTGTAACGTTGTGCGATCCCACAAATGTATATTCAAATTGAAAAGTCACACCTTTGTCATACAGAGTGTATGAATATACATTTATATACATTATCAGGCGTTTTCATTGAACCACGTTACTTAAAGACGATCGTATTTGTGTCGATTATAAAAGTAAAGATCTTTTCATGGAAACATTAACTGTATGCAGAAGAACAGGACAATTCTTTTCTGTGTAAGTTTCACAATTCAAAAAATTCAGATACATGTAGGTGTTTAAACATTAGCAAAGATATAAGCTTAAAAAAGTAATGTTTTATATTTGCAAGAATTTCTGTTGAAACCAGACCAGGCGAGATTAAACATGTTAGATAATAAAAACATAAAGAAATCGTCATTAATTCTCTGAGAGAGAGATCTAGATCGTTCAACATCAAATGAGCTCAACAAATACCATTGCAATCAAACTTGTATTCATAATCAATTTTGAGACAAAGGTTTTGTTATGATAATACGTTAAATTACCGTGAGGAGAATGTACTCCAGCGTAAAATGTTGTAGATGTTATCCTCCACTCTATGTCACGGTAACCCATCGGATGACTGAAGCTACAGTAACCACTGTCGAAGTCACAGCTCTGGCTCAGTAGTGTTACATTGATATTAGAACAACTGCTGTTAGACAAAACGTGGACATTAGTCGCTCTGGTGGAGGCCACTGATCCCGCATCACTAAATAGCCACGCTGATGTTAAAAAATCTGCAAAACATAATACAAAATCAAAGTAAATCATTATATAAAAATTAAAAAGAACAAAAATAAAGTGAAGTGTCACCAAGCAGGGACACATTATTTCACATCATCACCATTCAAGGACAAAAACTTTGAAATATTAAAAACATGATTAGCATTTGAGAAATGTAAAACATGTTTCTATTGTCCTGTTTTAAACGTCAAGTGTCGTGTTATGTATCATCAATGTACTTTTATTCAGATGTAGCAGATACAATAACATTTCTTTACTTAAAGATTCTTACTAATGTTATTTAACAGTCTTTTTAAGCGATGATTTGCTCAGAGTTTGTCACTTTCGTAATTGGGATTGAGTCAAAGTACCCTTTTGAAATGATCAACAAACTTGCAACTAAAAATCAGTATGTTAAGTATAATACAGCATACCTATGTGAACACACTTCACCCTAGAGTCACCTGTCAGGAATATAATATACCAGATTGTCAACACACAAAACCACGATGAACAATTCACCATGGTCAACACACAAAATATCACTTAGTTATTACAGTATATTACTTCTAACTCAGTATTTTAACATTTTTCGGACGTCACTTGAATTAACTCGCGCAGCAGTACTACATGTAAACAGAGAGACTGAGACCTTTAAACAACATGTTTTATTGAATTATAAATACATTGTACATTAAATATACATTCAAATGCGTTTAAATTGAAATCATTTATAGTGAAAAATAAGTGGCTGATATAAATTTTGTTTTATACTTAATACTAATGAATGAGGGTAAACCAAACATTTTGATTCATTGCTTTTCTATATCATTACATTTTATTGTATGTGAATTTACATTCCATATTATCATGTGAAACTAAATTCGTACTGAACAAGTTTTTCGAGCATCCCAGAGAAGGAAGTCTGAACACAGATCGCGACTTCACAAGAGATACCAGGTTGTCAAGAGATTGTCTGGGGTGCACCTATCTGCTCGTATTTGATTTCGGTGAGTTTTAGGCTTTGAGAGTGTTTTCAATACGTTTCTTGCGAAATGAAAGATATAAAGATTGCTCGCTTAAAAATCCTGATACATTATGTACCACGTGTACACAGATTTCCACTTTGTTAAGGGTGCTGGTTTGATAAAGAAATGTCATAGGCATCAGGATGTGATTGTCATAGCGATTAGAACTGACTTATTCAACATCATTCATAAATCAAACACGTTCATAAGTGTGTTAATCACAGTATATATAAAGTGTATATTAACTGAACAATGTTGTAACTTCAACATCTCTTATGAAATTTTATTAGTTGAAACATGTATACCTAGTACATTTACACTGAACCTAGTATTTTTTGTATTTCCCATGCCCCCATTTCATGAAGCTAAATATCATAATGACATTTATGTTTCTCAATCTTTAAAATAAAATATATATTACTGTGGTTACATCACGACGATTATTATGTTTGTCAAAATAAATCGTATACATGAAGATATGTATTAGATAGGAAATATAGAATGTACAAAATTTCAAGATTCTTTAGAGCAAACAGTGTAAAGAATTATCCACCAGTCTAAGTATAAAAACGTTATGTCAAGAAGGATTAGCTCCCTTTATTCACCACGTAATTAAGCAAACATAGGAAATCAGCTTCAAAATCTGCGTTTGTGGTTACGGTTTTGAATTTAAGAAAATCTAGCCAATAAACGTACCACCACATGTGGTCAGGACATCATTTAGTAAGCAATAGAAGAATCGGCCAATACATGTACATATGTAATTGCGTTACTTTACAGTGTCTATAGACACCAATTGATTCGTAGAATGGCATATTTTGCGTTTCAAGATTATGAAAGTTTGTTATTTGCAAACTATCATATTAAAGAAACTTAACGAATTGAATTTCAGTTAAAAACTGATTAATTGGTGTATTGACTGATTCGGAAACTTAAACATTAGTTCACATGTACAGATGTATATTGACTGTTTACGACATAAAACATTTTGGGGCAGCTTACATTAACAACAAGCTGGAAATCGGGATCTGGTAACTAAGCTTTAATAGAAATATTGTTTGATTGCAGTGTATACTTATTGCTGTTAATTGGGTGACTGTTTGTACATCCTTAATAATATAAACATTTAATATCCATACTAAATATTTGGTTGTTTATGCCTTGGTGATAACTAGCTGTGTCTGTGCAATATTCGAAATTATAGTGTTTAACAGTTTTAAAACTTAATTTCTACGACAGGAATATCAGTAATAGTCGATCATTTTACATTTCATGCTTTACAGGAAATATTTCTAAATTTAAAAACACAATCACAAATTAAGAATACGTGTTTTAGTTCATGTTACTGGCAATACTAACTATAAAATACTGACCAATCATATTTGGTATATTGCCATTTCGAATTACAATAAAAAAGTTACACATGGTGTATATCGGTACATGTACATAAAAATTAAAAAAGAAATTAAAGAAATTAATAATTATTACAGAAAGTGAACATTGATAATAATGTATCATAAATTGTACTTACGTAGCAAAACGGAAGTCCATGCCAGCTTCATGTTAACAGTTCCTTCAATTAGTCAAAATTCAACTTTATTATTATGCCATTTGTTTCTTCTTCAAAGTACTCTATGAGATGTTTCCCCCTCAGAGGTCACTGTTGATATGATAGATTATCACGCAGGGTAGTGCTCACTTCTCCGTTCTTATCTCAGAACTGAGAACATCCGGTTAAGCGTAAAAACCTTCATATCGTGTGTACATGCGGAGTAGTTTCAAATAAGCTGGGTATTTCTGACTTCTCGTGATCACTTCACTAGTTGATTCGTTATATTTCCAAATAGAAACATAAAATAAAAGTATGTTACCTCAGCTTAAGATAAGTAGTCAAAAATGCATTGGTACTAAATTGTAACAGTACATCAACATTGGTATCGTTTTCTGCATTAGTGTGAAATTGATCTGTTCTTGTGAGTCTGACTAAATACCAAAGGCCAACAGTTTTTAGATTAATTGATTCAATGCTCGTCTTAGGTGATGTGTGGCTTTAAAACTATCAAAGTACATTTGTTCATGTAGATATCCTTATATTTTATAATTACATCTTGATTTGGAAGTTGACATGTGAAATTTTAAGAAGCGATAATAAACAAAAACGAAAGGTTACCCGTGTGTTAGGTTTAGTTCACCTAAAAGGAGTAGCACACCCTGATAAATACAGAACAACAACAAAACAACAACAACGGATGTTTCCATTGACAACTTATAACATTCAGACACCACATACGTTCTGTAACACCAGGATGTTCCTTAACATTTGGGATACGGAAGAAATACAGTGTAAATAGCGTTTTCAACGTTGATAGTGTACCATTCCAGTAGCACTTTACATCAATAAAGAAGTCATCTGCTCGTATTAGGGAAGACAAAGTTTCTCTCCCCGTCTGGTCACACTAAACTCGTCAAAGTGACAGGTGAATGTGATTGCATTCTTATTGTTTTCTTCTAGAGTAATTTCAATGCAAATTTATACTTCAACTGTTACGTAATATGATTATGATACATGTAACACATGACGCGGTTGTATGTTTTATACTAAGAGTGTGGCCTTTCTGGAGCTTTGCCAGACGACAGCACTGTTGTTTACTGACCTTCTACACGAGCAAACATATAACATACATTTGATTGGTGACGCCTTACGAGAGATGATGTCTATTTTCAACAGCAAACCAAATCTTCTGCTGAACGTACACAAAGATAAGTATTGAATGCTGTCTAATTCTTTGGATACAGATATATTGCTTTATTATATCTGTTTGGTATACGGTTAACATATTGTTTTAAACCCCAGCCGTTACGATAAGAGTACATCAGTCCGATTTCAGCTGAACGAAGTAAATTACTTTGAAGAGGAGACTGAACTAGGACAAAAGGCGATTTTACCTTTTTTTCTTTTTAGCGGCTTCAACAAGTAAATTTAATAACTAACCATTAACGGATTTAATAACAGGTCATTAATTTATTAATTAATCAACGTCACAATAGCTTAAGATCGCAATCAAAGTTATTAATCTGAAAAGCAAAACTGTTGATTTTGTAATATAAAAATAATATAAACAGTAAATACTGTGTTTGACTGTAGAAAACACTGGAAATTTCTGCTGTAATATATGGAAATGAAGAAAATGCTACAAATGTATGCCACATGGTGTCTTATACCCCACCTGTGTCTTCTGGCGTACAATAACGTCAGTTACTAACCATATGTAGAGAGTTTCATTGACAGTTTTATTTAAAATGTCCAGACAATGTTATTGTTTCACTTAAATGGGTGAAAAATTCTCGAAATACAAAAATGCATAGCTCCAACTACATTGTCCCTTGCACACTGACAGTGTACGAAGTAGATAGAAATGTATTCACTTAATTGCCAGTTCTAAGGACGAACTGGCAGACAGATTTATGTTGATAAATATGTTTTAAGTTTGAGATCATTTTTATGTTGTCCTGCTTCCGTGCCCTCTAGTGTGTTTATGTCCCAATAAAATAACCTTAAATCAACTCTGGTATATATGTGCGCAATTGACGATTATTTATCACTAATGGGCACTTGTCTTGATATCCTATTGACGAATAAAATTAAATAACGATAGAAGGCATTTTACTGTAGAAGGTAATGTTTGTAACTACACATGTAACATATTGTACCTTTAAACTGTAGTGTGGCTCTAGTTTCGGTAAAAGACAAGTCATTATTCGCATACCAAGCCCAGAATTTTTGTCTCTTATAAAAGATATAATCTCAAACAACGTAGTTGGGCCCATATCTGGCTAACGTTCACTGTTAACATATTTGGCTAACGTTCATCGTTAACATATCTGGCTAACGTTCACTGTTAACATATCTGGCTAACGTCACTGTTAACATATCTGGCTAACGTTCACTGTTAATATATCTGGCTAACGTTCACTGTTAACATATCTGGCTAACGTTCACTGTTAACATATCTTTTGATCCCCTTTGTAACGAGAACCGATCGGAGTTGTCAAGACTTTTCAATACACAACACAAACACTGAACCTACAATATGTACGATTTATTCACACCATTTCATAACACTATCACTCCCTCTTTCTCTCCCAAATAACATTATTTTTCACTAATCAATTTCTGACAAATGAAATGAATGAATGTACAGGTAAAATTATTACTAATTCCAAAAGAAAGCTGTAAATATTTACAGTCTTTGTAGCTAGGACTTTCAATATCCACTGATGTGCCTTCGTTGATTGACACATACAACTGTAAGTTATACCCACACCGTTCCAACACAATACTCCTGTCAATGGATCTCATTTCAAACAGTTCAAATTGGCAGTGAAACGTCATGTCGCCAATATATGGCTCACTATGACCCAGCAGAAAGAATGAATAGTCTATATCCTGATGCATCCAAGATCATACCGATCTTTATGTTTTTATAGTGATGGAATGCTATGACCCAGCATAATGGATAGTCTATATCTAGGCTGATATCAATAAACCAAAGTTTACTGTAGTTGCAGGGTAAGTATGGATTACGTCACCCTTTTTCCAACCACACAGGTATAGTAGGTATTTGGCCTCCCATCAATGAAGAATATGCAGGAGTTTTGCCATCACCTTCGACAGACATTAGACCAACGTGTCACAAGATCAATTTGGAGCTAGTAGATTCACAGCTCATTAAACTACAATACATAATAAAATTTATCCTAATTACTATCATAAATAAGTACAGTACAAAGCTTTATGTGTCTAAAAGACGATTTCTATACTACAATGTTTCTATTTTATAATGTTTCTATATCACAATGTACAATATAATTATCCTCGTTTACATTTAAATACTATTAAACCAATAACCGTTCTTATTATTTTTTCATATTATTCTCGACAAGTGATTGGCCAGGAGTGCATCACGTGTCCACCGATAAAAACCGATATTGACTTGGAGCGCGTGATTTTTGTTGAAGGACTGGGTGTTTCTAAAAATAGAATTATAACGTGTCTCCAAACAATACACCGTCCAACTTTCGAAGTTTTTTTGTTGTGTTTTTTTTCAGATTGCTTACATTAGTGTTTCGTAAAATAATAAAACAATTGTAGCCTTTATCTTCGGTCAATACCTGGATTCATCGACCCGAGAAAAAAATATTAACCTCGGACAGCGTCCTCGGTCAATATATCTTTTCTTGGGTCGATAAGTCCAGGTATCGACCCCAGGCAAAGGCTATTATTGAATAATACAATAATTCTTATCAATACTATATATTATAATAAAATAACAACGATATGCAAAATGCTGATACATGTAGTTATAGTTTATCGATTATAACTAAGCATATATACTCTTATCTATTGTATATCTCAGACATCTACACGTGTAATCGAGTGCTACTCGCCTGAAAACAACTCTTCGAACATGTGTGTTTGTTTACATAACACCAGCTTAATCTAAACAATAACATTAATTGCGATTGCGGGACATCATAGTATGCTGCAAATACAAATTATAGCCATATAGGCTTATGACACATATGTTTATAAAGTACTAATGATTCATAAAAAAACTTCGTAGAATATGATTTTACTTACCGCAATCTGTAGTTTGCGCTTCAAATATGAGCCTAGCACGACTCACTGTAATGTCCGTCAAAACACCCGGTAAATCTCTCGTTCGCGCATGCATTACTTACCGAAAAAAATACAATTAAAGTTTGTTGCGCGATATTTGAAACTTACCTTTATATACATTACATACAGGACTTACTGATAACAAGTGATGTTCTACAGTTTGTGATTTGTTCTACAGTTTGTGATTTGTTATACAGTTTGTAATTTTTTATACAGTTTGTGATTTGTTTTACAGTTTGTGATTTGTTCTACAGTTTGTGATTTGTTATACAGTTTGTGATTTGTTGTACAGTTTGTGATTTGTTCTACAGTTTGTAATTTTTTATACAGTTTGTGATTTGTTATACAGTTTGTGATTTGTTATACAGTTTGTAATTTTTTATACAGTTTGTGATTTGTTTTACTGTTTGTAATTTGTTCTACAGTTTGTGATTTGTTCTACAGTTTGTAATTTGTTCTACAGTTTGTGATTTGTTATACAGTTTGTGATTTGTTATACAGTTTGTAATTTTTTATACAGTTTGTGATTTGTTTTACTGTTTGTAATTTGTTCTACAGTTTGTGATTTGTTCTACAGTTTGTAATTTGTTCTACAGTTTGTGATTTGTTATACAGTTTGTGATTTGTTATACAGTTTGTGATTTGTTGTACAGTTTGTGATTTGTTCTACAGTTTGTAATTTGTTATACAGTTTGTGATTTGTTCTACAGTTTGTAATTTGTTCTACAGTTTGTGATTTGTTCTACAGTTTGTAATTTGTTATACAGTTTGTAATCTTTTATACAGTTTGTGATTTGTTATACAGTTTGTAATTTGTTCTACAGTTTGTGATTTGTTATACAGTTTGTAATTTGTTATACAGTTTGTAATCTTTCATACAGTTTGTGATTTGTTATACAGTTTGTGATTTGTTCTACAGTTTGTGATTTGTTATACAGTTTGTAATTTGTTCTACAGTTTGTGATTTGTTCTACAGTTTGTAATTTGTTATACAGTTTGTAATCTTTTATACAGTTTGTGATTTGTTATACAGTTTGTGATTTGTTCTACAGTTTGTGATTTGTTATACAGTTTGTAATTTGTTCTACAGTTTGTGATTTGTTCTACAGTTTGTGATTTGTTATACAGTTTGTAATTTGTTCTACAGTTTGTGATTTGTTCTACAAGTTGTGATTTGTTCTACAGTTTGTAATTTGTTATACAGTTTGTAATTTGTTCTACAGTTTGCTACAGTTTGTAATTTGTTATACAGTTTGTAATTTGTTCTACAGCTTGTAAGTTGTTCTACAGTTTGTGATTTGTTCTACAGTTTGGGATTTGTTCTACAGTTTGTGATTTGATATACAGTTTGTAATTTGTTCTACAGCTTGTAATTTGTTCTACAGTTTGTGATTTGTTCTACAGTTTGGGATTTGTTCTACAGTTTGTAATTTGTTATACAGTTTGTAATCTTTTATACAGTTTGTGATTTGTTCTACAGTTTGTAATTTGTTCTACGAGTTGTGATTTGTTCTACAGTTTGTAATTTGTAATACAGTTTGTAATCTTTTATACAGTTTGTGATTTGTTATACATTTTGTGATTTGTTCTACAGTTTGTGATTTGTTCTACAGTTTGTAACTTGTTCTACAGTTTGTGATTTGTTCTACAGTTTGTAATTTGATATACAGTTTGTAATCTTTTATACAGTTTGTGATTTGTTATTCAGTTTGTAATTTGTTCTACAGTTTGTGATTTGTTATACAGATTGTAATTTGTTCTACAGCTTGTAATTTGTTCTACAGTTTGTGATTTGTTCTACAGTTTGTGTTTTGTTCTACAGTTTGTGATTTGATATACAGTTTGTAATTTGTTCTACAGCTTGTAATTTGTTCTACAGTTTGTGATTTGTTCTACAGTTTGTAACTTGTTCTACAGTTTGTGATTTGTTCTACAGTTTGTGACTTGTTCTACAGTTTGTAATTTGTTATACAGTTTGGAATCTTTTATACAGTTTGTGATTTGTTATACAGTCTGTGATTTGTTCTACAGTTTGTGATTTGTTCTACAGTTTGTGATTTGTTCTACAGTTTGTAATTTGTTCTATAGTTTGTGATTTGTTCTACAGTTTGTGATTTGTTCTACAGTTTGGGATTTGTTCTACAGTTTGTGATTTGATATACAGTTTGTAATTTGTTCTACAGCTTGTAATTTGTTCTACAGTTTGTGATTTGTTATACAGATTGTAATTTGTTCTACAGCTTGTAATTTGTTCTACAGTTTGTGATTTGTTATACAGTTTGCTACAGTTTGTGATTTGTTCTACAGTTTGGGATTTGTTCTACAGTTTGTAATTTGTTATACAGTTTGTAATCTTTTATACAGTTTGTAATTTGTTCTACAGTTTGTGATTTGTTATACAGATTGTAATTTGTTCTACAGCTTGTAATTTGTTCTACAGTTTGTGATTTGTTATACAGATTGTAATTTGTTCTACAGCTTGTAATTTGTTCTACAGTTTGTGATTTGTTATACAGATTGTAATTTGTTCTACAGCTTGTAATTTGTTCTACAGTTTGTGATTTGTTCTACAGTTTGGGATTTGTTCTACAGTTTGTGATTTGATATACAGTTTGTAATTTGTTCTACAGCTTGTAAGTTGTTCTACAGTTTGTGATTTGTTATACAGATTGTAATTTGTTCTACAGCTTGTAATTTGTTCTACAGTTTGTGATTTGTTCTACAGTTTGTGATTTGATATACAGTTTGTCCTTTTTTTCAGCACAATGCTCTCTCATGAATCATTATTTTCATTGCCATTTTATTCCTTGCAGATTATACTATTACAACACTTAAAGCGTTTTTAATCTTATTTGTCAACTTGAAATTCTTCTTTTGTATTACATTTTATGTCTTTTATTCCAATTGTTTAAACATGTACTCAGTATATGCCAAATAAAATTGGTTTGATGCTACTGTTAAACTATACATTGTACGTTAAGTTCCGGCATTGAAATATGTTTGAATGTTTTAATGCAGTTTTATTTTAATGAACATGACTGACACGAATGTTATAATTCCTGGTTTTTTTCAATGCAACGGTTAGTATGTTCTTCAATTCGTACACTCATCAACAGTTGTTTCTCTTTCAATGTGTTTACAACATATCCTACTTTTGTAGTCGTTACGTTTTCATTCTTTTCATATTAAGATGTTCAGAAATAAACTCATCGCCGATATACAATTTCCTTAGTTGATTTTTTTTTCTTTTCGCCGTCTTGACTTTCATTATGACCATTAAGGCTGCCAGAACTACAGCACATCCCCCAATGCTGGATCCAACGATTATCCAGTTTGATGTTTGTGCTGTTGTTGATATCTCTGATGATGTTAGCTTTTGTATAGTCGTACGTTTCGTCCCTGTAGTAGTTGGTCTACTGGTTAGCGAAGCGGTTGTCGTACTGGTTGCCGTAGTGGTCGGAGTCGTGGTCGTTGTCGCTGTCGGTTTCGTTGTTTGTGTAGTGGTTGAAGTAGTTGTTGGTGTCGTGGTTGGTGTATTGGTTGATGTAGTTGTAGGTGTAGTTATTGGTGTAGTTGTTTGTGTAGTTGTAGCTGTAGTTGTAGGTGTGGTGGTTGGTGTTGTTGTAGGTGTGGTAGCTGGTGTAGTGGTTGGTGTAGTTGTAGGTGTAGTTATTGGTGTAGTTGTTTGTGTAGTTGTAGCTGTAGTTGTAGGTGTGGTGGTTGGTGTTGTTGTAGGTGTGGTAGCTGGTGTAGTGGTTGGTGTAGTTGTAGGTGTAGTTATTGGTGTAGTTGTTTGTGTAGTTGTAGCTGTAGTTGTAGGTGTGGTGGTTGGTGTTGTTGTAGGTGTGGTAGCTGGTGTAGTGGTTGGTGTAGTTGTAGGTGTAGTTATTGGTGTAGTTGTTTGTGTAGTTGTAGCTGTAGTTGTAGGTGTGGTGGTTGGTGTTGTTGTAGGTGTAGTTGTGGGTGTAGTTGTAGGTGTAGTTGTAGGTGTGGTGGTTGGTGTTGTTGTAGGTGTAGGTGTTGGTGTCGTGGTGGGTATAGTTGTTGGTGTCGTGGTTGGTGTATTAGTTGGTGTCCTGGTTGGTGTAGTTGTAGGTATGGTGGCTGGTGTAGTGGTTGGTGTAGTTGTAGGGGTGTAAGCAGGTGTAGTTGTAGGTGTAGTTATTGGTGTAGTTGCTTGTGTAGTTGTAGCTGTAGTTGTAGGTGTGGTGGTTGGTGTTGTTGTAGGTGTAGTTGTTGGTGTCGTTGTATGTGTGGTAGTGGGTGTAGTTGTAGTTGTAGGTGTAGTTGATGGTGTGGTAGTGGGTGTAGTTGTGGGTGTAGTTGTAGGTGTAGTTGTAGGTGTAGTTGTGAGTGTAGTTGTAGGTGTATTTGTAGGTGTGGTTTTAGGTGTAGTTGTGAGTGTAGTTGTAGGTGTAGTTGTAGGTGTAGTTGTTGGTGTAGTTGTTGGTGTAGTGGTTGGTGTAGTTGTAGGTGTAGTTGTAGGTGTAGTTGTAGGTGTAGCTGTAGGTGTAGTGATGGGTGTAGTTGTAGGTGTAGTTGTGGGTGTAGTTGTGGGTGTAGTTGTGGGTGTAGTTGTAGGTGTGGTTTTAGGGGTAGTTGTTGGTGTAGTTGTTGGTGTAGTGGTTGGTGTAGTTGTAGGTGTAGTTGTAGGTGTGGTAGTAGGTGTAATTGTAGGTGTAGTTGTAGGTGTAGTTGATGATGTGGTGGTGGGAGTAGTGGTGGGTGTAGCTGTATGTGTAGTGGTGGGAGTAGTTGTGAATGTAGCTGTAGGTGTAGTTGTAGGTGTAGTGGTAGGCGTAGTAGTGAGTGTAGTTATAGGTGTAGTGGTGGGAGTAGTAGTTGGTTTAGTGATTGCAGTCGATGGAAGTTTCCATACTTTTATGTCGTCTAAACCTAGTTTTGTGTTAAAATTTATTCTAACACATTTAAACCGAATCTGCAAAAAAGGAAATTGTAAGTAAAGTAAAGTATATGGAAGGGAGGGAGGTATAAATGAAAAATAAATGAAATATATACGACAAGTATATCAAAAGAGTTCCACAGCTAATATTATATATCAACATTTGTTATTTTCTGTTATCTTAAGAAAAGTGTACCTGTTAAGAGAGGACAGGTAATGGTGATTGAATAGAAAATAATCAAGAACAATGTTCTAAATGAAATAAACAAATGGGCCAGACGAAGTTTCGAACCCTAGACCCACGATTATCAAACTGTTGTTGTAACCATCTGAGCTATTCAATCAACGGTTGAAACATTGCCCAGTTGCGCTACAGTTATACTAGAAACAAACTAAGAGCAGAGTATTTGATGTCAATACAAGTACAGTAGTTTGCCTTCAGTAGGACAGGAATCCTAAAAGCTGACAGTGCAAGTTAAAAAGCTTTCAATCAAGAAAAACAAAGTTTTATTTTTTTGTTTATTTTTAAAATGACTTTCCCTTTCAGCTATCGTTTCTAAGAAAGTGTCGACATTTCAGTTTGTCCTTACTTAGTAACGAGTATGGGTCTCTCTGGGTAAAAAGAGTGCAATACCTGACAAACTGGCTATCATTCTACAACTGGCCGTTTTGCAATTCAATATACCGGTCATCCTGATCGGTAACCAATATTAAAATCAAACGAACTAAAAAGAAGACTGCAACACTGCGGAGCTGGTTTGTTACCTCTTGGACATAATAGGAATTTGTATATCCAAAACAAATGAAATATGACTGAAAACACTCCGATAAATCCCTAGACTGGCCCCCATCAATAGAATAATGAATTATTAAGAAAAATATTTAATTCAAAAATGTTTATCACTTGGATGTCTGATTCCTAAGTTCTAAACGAGGGGGAGATAAGCTATGAGTAAAAAAAAAATGGTGCTGGTAGCCAGTCTAATACATCCCGTATATATTATATTTCTTGGGTGCATAGAACCGCACCCACACTCGTGTACTTCATTATGAACTCTGAGTTTTCATCGTGTAGACACTTTACTAGCAAAACACGTGCAAAATGCACAATCCCCGGTGTGTAGTCAACAATGTGAAATTTGATCATGGAACCGTTCTCATGAAAATAATTTATTGTATTCACATAGGATGTTGTTACTAGTGGGATATGTAAAAGATAGGCATCAGCGTTAGTCGTATGTGTATTTCTTTAGTGTCGTATTTTGGAAGGCGAAAGGGGGAAAGGAATTGTGCATTGAATAATTTAATTTGTCGTCTATTACTAATGTTTGCATACTTCTGAGATTAATGATAAATTTGATGTCTTCCATTACAATGTACTACATTCTTTAACTGATCTGATAAAAAAATGTTGGTTCAAACTCGTGAAAGGTTCTATTTATTGAAGTGTCACCTTACGCACATATTGAACTAATGCTAACCGGTTTGACATGTAATGCGCTTTTTTACCCAGGGAAACCCATACTCGTTATCAAGCAATTACATTATAAAATGTCGACGCTTCCTTAGATACGACGGTAGCCGGAATCTTGATTGAAAGCCATTTTAACTTGTACTGTCAGCTTTAAATATCAATTAATTAAATGTTGTCATCAATTATCTATACTTCATTTGTAACACATAACATCTAGACGGTCTGTGACGTGATACCAACGTCACAAAACATACATATAGTATTACGTCATCAACGCAATTCATGCAATATGCATGTTAACTGAGACAATATTAATATGAGCTCAAATAACTCAAAAACGGCGAATAAAACGCAAATATCATAGAAGAAGTTGGATTAAGATATGATCTTGGTTATACACTTTACATGTTAACTACCTAATATATATTTATGTAAGTCACAGCAGTTCTTAAGAAAATAGTTGATTTCTTTTAATCAGTGAAACCCCTGGATCCCTGGATAAAAATGCTATTAAATTTCATTATATCTATCAATGATAAAATAGAGTGAACTCGGGTCGTATAAAACGAGCTCATGTAGTCTACGCTAGTTAGCAGGCGCAAACGCAAAGCTTTAAATAATAGCTCTCGGTTCAACGTCTGGCCTGTTTTGTAATGTCAAAATGTCATCCAATCAGTAAACGAAACGGTGTAATATTTCTGCATTAAGTGTGTATTAAAAGGGAATACCTTCCTTTAACAATTAGCGTTAATTTTTAGTTTCTAATTAGGCGAATCATTTACACATTAAGCAATGTATTGAAGCAACGTATTAGTGGATTGTCTTTTGACAGTATGAGAAAGACTACAGTAGCAAATGGTGGTTGAAGAATAAAACAGAATATGGTAACAAAATAAATTTCAAGGAATAGTTTAGTATTAGGTCTAAATTGTCATATGTATACTGGTAAATAATGAATTACTGGAATAATTTGTTTGATATGTTGTTAAAAGAAGTAGATTGTGACCTAACACTAACGAAATGTTAGTACATGTGTATGTGACAGAATGCTTTCGTTACATTTACCAACTGGTTAGTTTTGTATAATATTACAATAACTTCATAGGCCTACCTTAAATGGACTCTGGCTGGAAACAGCCAATATCGCATTCATCCAATATTTTCCAAGACGACCAGTTTGTTTCCATAGCGACGTGTCCTGACCATTGGTATCCACCAATACTTCCAGATTGGATGTAGATTGGGTCATGGCGTACCAGAACTGGATACACACAGCCCCGCCATTGATTGTTGTGGTGTTGATTGACGAAGTCGCGCCATCTGGTTTTCCGAGAGTGTATGGGTAAATATAGCGTCCTTCTGCAATAGCACCACAAATAGTTTAAAAATAATCAAATGGTAATGTAATACATGTATCCAATAAGATCTTAAAGTATGCTCTTGTTCAATCCTGGATACATATATGCATACACATGCACTTAATCTGTAGAGCATAACATATACATACTTATTCAAGAAACATAAGTAGTTACCTATTAATTGTACACTTCGTTATTAGTTTTTTCGCTTCTTTGCGGCGAAAAAAAAGTAAAAGCGGTTGTTTTTTACTTTCCTAAACTGCGTATAGTCGCCGAAGCAAATCCTAAATTTCGTGGAGAGCCATTTTATTTTACAAACCGACCTTTTTTTCCCCAAAGATGGTATATTGTCGGAAGAGAAATGATAACAAAAAGATGCGTCCACTTTAATTCTTGAATATGTTGAGAATGAGAAATATATGGATATTATGCATAGGCTATATTGGTATGTGTATATTATCATTACAAATAGTATTGTTACTGATATTATCATCATGCCAAATTTAAAAAATCAGTCTTTTCGATTCCGATATGAGGACTGAAACACACATGCATACGGCAGACAAATATTTCAAATGTCAATAGGTGTAAATTTGAATAGTACCGTGAAGAGAATGTACTCCAGCGTAAAATGTTGATGTTGAAGATGTTATCCTCCACTGCATGTCATGGTAATCCGTCGGATGACTGAAGCTACAGTAGTCACTGTTGAAGTCACAGCTCTGACTCAGTAGTGTTACATTGATATCAGAACAACTGCTGTTAGACAGAACTTGGACATGAGTCGCTCCTGTGGAGGCCACTGATTTTGCCTCTGTCATGTGGAATGTTGAAATTGTGAACCCTGCAGGCAGAAAAGAAATTTGTTAAATAGCAGATTGATTGAATCTGTTTGTTCATGTAACATATACATGTATGTTAGTAATTTAACTTAGTAATATGTACGTACATATAGCAAGTACATATGTTACTACAGTTTACAACAACAAAATTTATACTTCGGCAGTGCAAATAAAATCGATTAAAATGGTAGCAGCATTTTCTTCGTAAATAGTTGTGCCGTCATAATAAAAAGACATAATTTGACTGAGAGACGTCATTATTGTAGTCAGCAAAGAAAGAAAACGCATTTTAATTTGAGATAAATTTATCTTCTTGTTGCAAATGTATTTAACTTTTATTAATCTGTTCATTATAAAGGCTTTTCATATCTTTGCCTTAAATAAATCATGAAAACAATCCCGCTGTTATATTATTTTATTAGACGTAAGTAAAATATTTGGTACCAGGAATGAACACCATTTGTGCAGAAAACAGCGTTGCAGCGTCGTTACATGTACATTGAATTTGCAAAACAACAACTAATGTGAACGGTAATGTTACATGTATCAGTTATCGCTTGAACTAGCTCCTGCTAGTTAGACGGTAGTTCTTGATGTCGCCAAACGCGTCACCATGCAACATCCCAAACCTACTGAATGAACGACATGTCACGTAATTAAGAATGGTCAGCCCAGCATTTTAACATGTTTAACTGTAGAAACGTAATGTTGATACAATTGATATGTGATAGCTCGGTACCTTGTTGAAAAATAGCTCATTCGCCATGACGTTATAAAAATGAGATTACCACCAGACTCAACTTTTTACTCGATAATATACCCCGTTCAATTTCTCAAACATCATAAACACTGTTGCGGATCCCACCACAAATACCACCCTTGCCTAGTACATTACAACCCCCGACAAGGTCACGTCAAAGGACGCGGCAGTTTAGGAAGCATTCGTCCCGACTTCTATAAATTTCACGCCTCTTGCTATCATGTGACAAAAAGAAGTGTGATTCATCAGTAAAATGAATAGTGTTCCATTGGCGTACCATCCAACTACAGTGTGCACAGTTACCATAAGAGCTATTTGTACAATGACGTCTCACTAAGATGGGACACTGTACAAGGGTGACGCGCTTTCAATTGGACCTCCTTCAAGCGGTTTCGGATTATTTGGGCAGGTATCATCCGCGATATTCTAGATTTCTTATGTTTGCCATCCATTTATTCTTGTTGTCTCTCTGTTCTTTCTTGCTTGTTTTCAAAACACAATCGTCATCTCTTTTTCATTTCAGCCGGGTTTGTTTTAATACTTCTGGTGCTGATGGATACTGTATTTTACATAAAAAAAATGAAATACGCTGATGTTATCACATAATCCCCTCGGTTAGCTTTTGAGCGAAGTGTAATTATGGTAAAAAAATCTTACTGTAGGTGTGAGCTCTAGAGAATTCATAGAAAATAAATGTTAATAAAGTTAGTGAGAACATATATAAGCGTAGTTGTTCGTGTAAGAACAGCGTGCGAAAATTGCAGAAATATATAGTGACACATCACAATGAGTATTTATAGATGACGTTTTTTACTGATGATCAACAAGTATATATTATATGAAGTTCTACCATTCTGCTACTGGTATTACACTGTAGAATAGTGGAACTCAACGCAAATTATAACTATATTTACTGGAGAAGTTGGAGACATACTTTAACACTATACTTGGCAATATCACTTTCTATCCAGCTAAATAGATGACACAGCAGTAAGACTTAATGGGTTAAATAATCAAACCATTCCTGAAATAACGAAACCCATCGTTTTCCGTGTGGTCACGTTTGGTTGTATAAATGAAGATTATAAATCAATATTAGAGAAGAACGTTATCGTAAGTGTGATAAAAAAAAAAATTGTATTAAATCCAAATACACGATTCGATAATGATCACACCATGTCTGGGTCACAACCTGACACAATTATAGGTACATAATGCACACTACACACTTTCACACTCACACCATATCACATTATACATAAATCGTACTGGTGTTGATCCGACTCCAATGTATCAATCACCGTGTGCAAAATATCCCAGCGAACTTAGTAGCGCTGTTTTCACCATTTCACCATAAACCAACTGTCGCCTTCAACCTTCTCTTACCAATCACATTAAGTTATGTTTATATGTCTGAGACTTTCCAAAACACAAACAACTATCCAAAAAGCTAAAAAAAAAACAAAAAAAACATGCACTGTTTTATATGAAAGATGCATTCATTACCTTGTGTGTGCATCGGCCTATCTAGCAACGACATTCAGACCAACCATTAAATAATAAATAGGCAAATTATTAACTCATTTCAATAATCAGAAATAAGATATACATTAAAAACAGGATCTACATGTACTTATCAGATTATCAATGATTATCAGATAATTAAGGAACTTGCGTTATGATAATGCTAAAACTACATCGAGTTTTTGTTTTTTAAAAAGTACTACTAGGATTATGAATTCCACTTTTTCTGATTTTTCTTCTACCAACAGGAGGATAGCGAAATGTCGGTCAAACCTTAATTCGAACTCAAAATCAATAAAACAACATCAAAATATAAACAAAAATAATATAGATATGGAGACGTTTTACAGTACCAGGAGAATGTTGTTAGGTTTTTACGGGGGCGTCCCCTGCCTCATTGACGATACTTGCCGTTTGAATTTTAGCCAAATTAGGGTAATGTCATTTTCACACAGCGAAACAACGGTGGGTACAACGAAACGACAAGGTACAATGAGCATTATCAAAATCATCGACTTTCAGTTCACCCAAAACAAAAAATATATGCCAATCAGAACATGAATGCGATCATAAAACTTCCCTTTATTTTTTCATCAAACTGCATCTCTCTTAATTCTTTGTTGTAATTTGTCTGTCAACCTTCGACATCTACATGTATCACAATTTTGACATTTGGAGTAGGTTCTTGAATACCGAATCGACTGCGAAAATTTCGTAGTTTTTGGAAACATGGATATTATTCATAAGAAAGGGAAAATTCATTATTGGAAAATTGAAAATTCAAACTTATGAGTTTATTTCTCATCTAAGGTAAAGGGTAACCTTAACAAACATGTTATATTACAATTAAATTATTTATATTACCAAAAATAATATCATTTAGAGTTGGTATATTTGACGAATGTGATTTATGTATTAAGTTTACACGATGTGCATGCATACTATATGTTTGCGCCGTTATCTTACTTGTTTTGCCTCAATGATACATTCTATCCTGTGCGAAGTCTAGTATGATGTAGTACCAAGGTAAAGATTAGAGAGAATTATCAACGTGTCAAAAAAAAAGCATGTGACAGAATATGTTTACTTTGAATTTGATACTTGCACTATCAAAGTTTTCGTTTCGTTTTATTTTGTTCATCAAATACTTATTTTTATTGTTACTTTAACACTCATTGTAAACGGATTTTTAAGTTACAGGGCTCTACATGAAAGATATTTTATACATATTATATTTAAGTCGAAATATCGTGTCATCAGATGCACATGCATTGTAATGCCATTCTGAATCCATTTCCTCCTGTATCGATGATAGATTTCAAAACTGATTTTTATTAATCGGAATGCGGTCGATCAGTTAGGTAAGAGTGATAAAGGCTAAGTATTTTAAACACAATTAGTAAAGTCTGCTGTCTGGACCATGACAGCTGACTGTACTGATGCAGCAAACTGTGGCTTAATGAGTTGGTTTTCAGCGGTTTAGTCATGACACCGGTCATTTACACTTTTTGAGTGACAAAGGAAACAGACGTTTTCGAAAGCTCGCAAAATCAGTTATTAATTCCGGGTTTGGTTCAAAACAAACTTAGCCTTTACATTTAAATTAATTTTGATGTTGGTAATTGTATGGTGTACATTCATATCAATGCTAAGTTACATTTGTTTGATTAGATATTTACCACTACAGTATAGCTAAGTACAATATGCGTTACGTGTAGAACATCTTACCTAGACATGTTAAGTAGAAAAGTCTCCATCCTAAGATAAATGTCCCCATCTCTGAGAGGAAGTTGGTGCAATAATAACTGGTTTAGGATAAATTTACTTACTGAACTAAATAGATATCATTTTTTTTCTAATATTCACTGAAAACATGGTATGTGCCCGATTTAACGTTATCAGTTATTGATATATAGGTAGTAAAGTGTATATACAAACCTCTCCAACGTATTGCTAGCTTAATGAATGGATATCGAGAGATATATTACATTTGTATCAGCTCGGGGGCAGTGACTTCGACAAAATAATATATAGTTTGATGTCATATTTTGTGGACGTATCAAATATTGCAGGGAGTAATACGAAGCCATCATATTACTAAATCCTAATCCTAGTTATGTGTCAACTTGTTTCAATCTAACAACAATTATATGAGACATTTATTTCAATAAGTCACTCTAATCGGCTTGGATGCTGACACACGGGAGCCTTAAAGTTGGAGGAAATCAGAATACTCGGAAAAAACCCACGTGGTCGGACAGATGACCCCATACCTTTTCACGTCCGATTAGGGAATCAAGCCACAGCCATGGTTGCATATTTACATGAACATGTTTATATACCTCATTTCTAATAGTGATATATATTCTATAACTGTGGTAACATCACAACATTGAGTTGCGCAGTGGAAAGCGCACTTGCCTCCTACCAGGCGGCAGGGGTTCGAATCAACGACCTGACGTAAACAGGTATGGGGTCACCTGCCCTACTACGTGGGGTTTCTCCGAGTCTTCCGGTTTCCACCCACATTAATACCCCT